TCGGGGCGCTATTGGCGGCGGGGGGGCGCTGGGGGGGGGGGGGGACATTTGGGGCAGGAGCCCTGGGGCTGGGGGGGACATTTGGGGCAGGGGGGACACTTGGGGCAGGATCCCTGGGGCTGAGGAGACCCTCGGGGAATGGGGATGCTCGGGTCAGGATCCCTGGGGCTGGGGGGACCCCAGGGAATGGGGACGCTCGGAGCGCGATGGCTGGGGCTGCGGGGGGATGCTCAGGGCTGATGGGGACACTCGGGGCAGGGGGGACCCCCGGGGTGGTTGGGGACCCCGGGGCCGCTCACTGTGCTGGTTGATGAGCATGCGGATGGAGATGCGGCTCAGGTAGAAGCGGTCGAGGAAGTACTGGATGTTCTGGTTGGAGACGGGGTCGTCCCCGTAGGCATCCTTGTACTCGATGACCCCCTGTGCCATGGTGGGCACCACGTCGTTGTGCCGGTTGCGGATGGTGACCAGGGCGTCCGTGAACCTGAGGAGGGGGATGGGATGGAGCTGGGGGGCACCTGGTCCGCACAGATACAGGCTGGATTTCCCCCGGAGTCTGGTGGCACCAGAACACTCAGGGCATAGCGGGGTGAGGGGCAGTTTAGGGACAATACAGGGGTGCAGGGTGCCAGGGCCCCTCGGTGATGCCAGCTCTCACCAGTGTGAGTCTGGGAGGAGGTGACGCCTGGGACTGGGGACAAGGGGTGTCACGGACACGCTGCCACCCCCCTAACTTACTGTCCCAGGGTGGTCTGGTCCTCAGGGTCCCTGTCGAGGAACTCCATGATGTCCAGCAGGCTCTGGACGTACCTGGGGAGGGAGCTGGTCACCCCCCGAAGAGCGGGGACACCCCGGGGACCCCACACCAGGGGGGGACAGGGTGCCCTGGGGCACTGCCCCATGCAGGGAGAGGGGCTCAGCACCTCTCAACCAGGACCCCCACCCCCAAAAAGTTCTGCCATGAAACCACCCTGCACTTGGTGGGGGGCCCAAGCTTGTTCCACCCCCCTGCTGGCACGGTGGCCCTTGGGGACACTTGGGGACGCAGCCCCTCCGATGGGGCGGGGGGGCACGAGGGTCACTGCAATGCGGGGTCCCCGCGCGAGGGCTGAGGGAGCGAGGCACGGCCGGATCCTGCTGCCTGCCCGTGTTGGCAGGGCCGGGCAGGGCTGGCAGGGGCTGAGGACGCTGCACAAACAACTCGTCACGTGGCGGCACTGGGAGAAGGTTCAACGCTGCCGGAGCTGGCAGGGGGACACGGCGCTTAAAGGGACACCCAGACCCCCCCCCGGGGACACAGACCCCCCAGTCATGGGGCTGGCTCGGCCCTTTCGGGGGGCAGGAGGCTGGGGCAGGACATGGGGGTGGCACTGGTGTCCCCCCCGATGTCTGGGGACACCCTGCTGGCATGGGGGTGTCCCTGAAGGGCCTGCAGCCCTTGTCACTTAAGGGCATGGCGTGGCACCAGCTGGGTGCTGCCATGCCAGCCCCTCGCTGCTGGGGAGGACAGTCGGTGGCAACGGTGGGACACATGGCGGTGGTGGGACCCTGCGGTGGCAGCGGGGACCCCCCTGGGCGACGGTGGTGGCAGGAGTCGTGGTGGCGATGGGAGCCGTGCAGGTGACAGCGGTGGGACCCACGGTGGCACCCAGGTGGGTGACGGTGGTGGGACCCCACTGGGTGACAACGGTGGGACCTGCGGTGGTGGGACCCCAGGCAGCAGGACCCGTGCAAGCACCAACGGTGGGACCCCCACGAGCTACAGCAGCGGGACGCCCGGCAGCAGGACCCGTGGTGGCAGCAGGACCCATACAGACGATGGTGGTGGCACCTCTGCACCCAACGCCATGTGGGACCGGGTGGTCCCGGAGGCGGCAGGACCCCTGGTGGCAGCAGGCCCCCCCCAGCCCCCCCGGTCTCACCAGCTCTGCACCAGCTGGACGGAGGGAGTGCGCAGGACGCGGTCCGGCAGCAGGTTGATCTCCTTCATGATGTTGGAGAGGCGGACGGGCAGCTCCTGCCGCAGGAAGGCGAAGGAGGTCTTCTCGCAGGCATTGCTGGAGCCTGGCGGGGTGGGGGGGGACACGGGCTGAGCCCCGGCTCGACCTCCCCAGCCCCAGGGCTGGCTTCGCTCCTGCTCCTCTGCTGGCGGGGACTGGGAGGTACTGGGAAGACTGGAGCAGAGGAGGCAGGAGCAGGTTCCTGCCCTTGGCTGGAGGGGGATGCTGGAAGGGGACCCTGGAGGGGCTGGGAGGGCTGGGGGGGCACAGTTTGGCTCGCTGGGAGGGCAGGATGGGTGCCCAGTGCAGCCCAGTATAGCCCAGTACAGCCCAGACTGGGGCTGGAAGCCCCCCAAAGGCAAACTGGTGGGGAGAAGGACCTGAGCCGCCACCAGAGCTGGGGCCGCCCAACCCAGACCCTCGGCCCGGGGTGCCGAGAGCCTCGGCCACGGGGACGCAGCGAAGCGTCCCCAGGACCTGGATGTCCCCAACCAGGAGCCGGCGTCCAGCGAGGAGGGGGGGGTCAAAGCTGCCCCCGAGCCCCTGGAGGGGCACGTCCCTGGAGACAAGGGACACGGGACGGAGCTGAAACGTGACGAGGACTCGAGGGGGGGTCCCAGTGCCGGTGGGACGGAGCAGAACCAGAGGGGACCCCGACAGGGGCTGGGGACCCCCAGGGCTGGGACAGCGCGGAGGGGACGCGGGTAAATATAGCGCTGACATTAAAACCCCCGGGGACACACACACAGGAGGGGCCTGGGACGGGTGACAGCGATGGGTGGGGGCATCTCCACCTCCCTGGGGTATTTACCCGGGGTGTTTGCTTGGGGGGGCACCCACGTCGCCCACCCAGGGGGTGCTGGGGGGCCAGGCGGGTATTTACCCGCCTGCGGGGGGGACCAGGGGGGTGCAGGGAA